GAAGGAGTTAATTCATGAATAAGAGTTAATAAAATTAACTCAAATTACAAAGAGTTGTAAGCCCACTACTAGTATTAATTGTGAACCTAAAAGGTCACGCCAATTTTTGAATGAAGGTAAAATTCAAATAGTAATTCTAAAGAGTTAGAATTAATTGACAAATCTAATTTGATTAGATGTCAATTTATGTAATATATTAAATTAATCAATTGGATTGATTAATTGAATTTTGGATATTAATTTAGTAATTAATGGAATTACTAAATTAATAGTTGGAATTTAAAATTGGATTTTAAATTTCAAATCCAAATAATAATATGATTATTAAATGAGGAGATGGAAGAAAAGATTAAAATAATAATGTCTTGAAAAAATATTTTCAAGAATTATTATTTTATTATTTATCTTTAATATGATTAAAAATTAAATATTAATAAGAATAAATTAATTATAGTGGTTTGGAGTTGTTAACTACTTCACATAATTAATTTTATTTTTATTAATAGAATATTGGGTGGGTAATAGTCTTCTTCAAGATTTAATATTTTATGAAAATATTCTTGAAGACTTTTTATATTTTATGAAAATATTCTACCTAATATTATTATTTTATACTAAACTGGTTAGTATAAATATGGACATATTTGATGTTCAATTTTTGCTAAGTTTTTGGCTAAGTTTTTCAAGAGTTGAAAAAGAGAAAAGAAGAAATGTTCTTCAAAATATAAAACAAGAAAGAGTTCTTGTAAAAATCTCCTCAAGAATATATTCTATACTTATTGTGCTATTGTAGACAAACTGTCTGCCCGGTAAACTAACATGTACTCCTTAGTCCTTCGCAGGTACTTGAGTATATGTTTCACCGCAGCCCAATGTTCCCTTCCTGGATTACTTTTATATCTTGCTACCATGCCAACGATGTAGCTAATATCAGGCCTAGTGCACAGCATTGCATACATGAGACTTCCTACTGCCGAAGCATAAGGAACTGTCTTCATGTCCTCAATCTCCTTAGTCGTCTTGGGAGACAACTCCTTAGATAAAGGTACTCCATGTCTGAAAGGTAATGTACCTCTCCTAGAGTTCTGCATACTGAATCTGGCCAAGACAGTATCTATATATGAAGACGGGGATAAGCACATCATTCTTTTCTCACGATCACGAATGATCTTGATACCAAGAATGTGTCATGCTTCACCCAAGTCCTTCATATCAAACTGCTTAGACAACCACGCCTTTACGTCCGACAACTCCTTCTTGTTGTTGCCAATAAGAAGTATGTCATCCACGTATAGCACAAGAAACACCACCACGCTTCCACTAATCTTCTTGTATACACAGTGCTCATCCGGACATTGGGTGAATCCATATGACTGGATTACCTCATCAAACCGAATATTCCAAGACCTTGAGGCTTGCTTCAGTCCATAAATGGACCGATTAAGCTTACAAACTAAGTGCTCATGCCCTTTTGCAATGAATCCTTCTGGCTGTTGCATATAGATGTCTTCCTGAAGGTTCCCATTAAGGAAAGCCGTCTTAACATCCATCTGCCACACTTCTTAATCCATATGAGTGGCTACAGCTAAGAGAATCCGAATGGATTTAAGCATAGCTACTGGCGAAAAGGTTTCATCATAATCGATACCCTCTTTCTGGGTATAACCTTTCGCAACAAGCCTAGCTTTAAAGGTTTCCACCTTTCCATCCGATCCCCTCTTTCTCTTGTAAACCCACTTGCATCCAATGGGACGTATCCCATCGGGTGGTTCTACAAGATCCCAGACCTGATTGGTGTCCATTGACCCCATCTCAGCTTTCATTGCAACCTTCCATGAATTTGCATCTCTATCTTGGAGTGCCTCGTCATAAGTTCTTGGGTCCGATTCTAAGTCTCCTGGAACTGAGTCCGATGACTCTCCAAGACCTATCCATCGGTCGGGTTGTATAGAAACCCTCCCACTACGACGAGGTACCGTCTGTACTGGCACACTATCAGTGTTACGTGTTGCAGTACTATGTGATGTATCTACTTGCGCACTCGGTGGGGAACTATCGATATTTCTCCCTAACTCCTCTAGGACAAGTTTACTACTGGGCTTATGATCTACGATATAGTCTTCTTCCAAGAATCTAGCGTTCGTACTAACGATCACCTTCTGATCTTCAGGACTATAAAATAAACCACCTTTCGTTTCCTTGGAATAGCCGACAAACAGTCTCACTTCTGATCATTTCTCCAACTTGCCAGCCTCCTGCACTAAGACATGTGCAAGGCAACCCCAAATTCGAATTTGTGAGAAACTAGGCTTGCGCCCTTTCCACAACTCATAAGGAGTACTGTCTACTGATTTTGAAGGAACAGAATTCAGAATGTAACATGTTGTCTCTAATGCAAATCCCCAAAACGAATCTGGTAACTTCGAATAACTCATCATCGACCTAACCTTTTCCATAAGAGTTCTGTTTCTTCGCTCTGCAACCCCGTTCTGCTGGGGCGTGCCGGGTGCAGTCAGTTGGGATTCAATCCCTGCCTCTGATAGGTATGTCCTAAACTCTCCAAAGAGATATTCGCCTCCTCGATCAGATCGAAGACACTTGATACTTTTACCTTGTTGTTTCTTCACAACTGTCCTATACTCCTTGAATTTTTCAAAGCATTCGAACTTGCGGTGCAACAAGTAAATGTACCCATATCTAGAATAATCATCAATAAAAGTGACGAAATACTCATAGCCTCCTCTAGCTTGGATCGACATAGGACCACACAAATCAGAATGAATCAATCCTAGGGGCAAGTAGGAAATGTAAGCAACGTCTCCGAAAAGACTTGTTTTTAAATACGACACCATTATTTGATGTGGATATCATATATTTACCGCCCCATCGTATTCTGAACCAAAATAGTACACGTTTAAGAAAGTCGAGGAAAATAAGGGTAAATAGGGACATGTACGAAAATGTAAGCAACGTCTCCATAAAGACTTGTTTTTGAACACGACACCATTATTTGATGTGGATAACATATATTTATCGCTCCATCGTGTTTTGAAGCAAAATGGTACACGTTTAAGAAAGTCGAGGAAAATAAGGATAAATAGGGGAAAGTACGAAAAATGTAAGCAACGTTTCTGGAAAGACTTGTTTTCGAACACGGCTCCATTATTTGATAACATATATTTATCGCCCCATCGTATTTTGAAGCAAAATGGTCCACGTTTAAGAAAGTCGATGAAAATAAGGGTAAATAGGGGCAAGTACGAAAATGTAAGCAACATCTCTGGAAAGACTTGTTTTTTAACACGACACCATTATTTGATATGGATAACATATATTTATCGCCCCATCGTGTTTTGAAGCAAAATGGTACACGTTTAAGAAAGTCGAGGAAAATAAGGGTAAATAGGGACAAGTACGAAAATGTAAGCAACGTCTCTGGAGAGACTTGATTTCGAACACGGCACCATTATTTGATGTAGATAGCATATATTTATCTCCCCATCGTATTTTGAAGCAAAATGGTACACGTTTAAGGAAGTCGAAGAAAACAAGGGTAAATAGGGGGAGTACGAAAATATAAGCAGCGTCTCCGGAAAGAGTTGTTTTCAAACACGGCACCATTATTTGATGTGGATAACATATATTTATCGCCCCATCGTGTTTTGAATCAAAATGGTACACGTTTAAGAAAGTCGAGGAAAATAAGGGTAAATAGAGGCAAGTATGAAAAATGTAAGCAACGTCTCCGGAAAGACTTGTTTTCGAACACGGCACCATTATGTGATGTGGATAACATATATTTATCGCCCCATCATGTTTCGAAGCAAAATGGTACACGTTTCAGAAAGTCGATGAAAATAAGGGTAAATAGGGGCATGTACGAAAATGTAAGCAACGTCTCCGGAAAGACTTGTTTTCGAAAACGACACCATTATTTGATGTGGATAACATATATTTATCGCCCTATCGTATTTTGAAGCAAAATGGTACATGTTTAAGAAAGTCGAGAAAAATAAGGTAAATAGGGGCAAGTACGAAAATGTAAGCAACGTCTCCGGAAAGACTTGTTTTTGAATACGGCACCATTATTTGATGTGGATATCATATTGAAAAGAAAAAAGTTGAATATAAAACAAAACCACATCAAAGGTGGTTTTATCCTCTCGACCCAGCTGCGGTGAATATCATATTGAAAAGAAAAAAGTTGAATATTAACATGATATCGGGCGTAGAGCTAATATGATGTGGGTCTATCCTCTCGACCCAATCGCTTTTTTCCATTGCTTAGAAAGATCTAATAAATTTTGGGTGGAAAAATTTCCTACAAAATTAGTTCACTTGCTTTTGTGTCAACTGACACACATGCAGAGGGAAAATAAACGATTAAAGTGCAAAAGGCATGTGAAACTCATAACTAATACTCCCTCCAATTCATTTTAATTGACGTTTTGAATTTATGCACAATAATTAAGAGTTATTTATCTTCCAATAATAACCTCATTAACTCAAATCATCTATCCACATTCCACAGGAAAAAATGAGAATAAAAAGTTACAGAAGTGGACCAAACACAAAGAAGGAAAAAAAAATTAAAAGTGAAACTCATCGTTCTTCTACGTGTTTTTTCCTCAAACTATCTGTAACTTCATTTTTTCAACAGATTACAAATTTGGAGCTAAAATTTTGATAAGGAGGTAAAATGAAAATTCACATTCAACATTTCAAAATTTTCATCAAGGAGCCAAAATTCAAAAAGAGGTCCATAAATATGGATATGGACAATTTAGTTGAACCACACATTATGAATAAATATTTGTCATGGCTTCAATTATTTCGATCGATTTGAACAAACCCCTTACGACGTCGAAGATGAAGTGCCGAGATCTTCAAAGAACATTATAAGAGAGCTAAATGTTGACGACGGCTCGGAAATTGGATACCCTGTTATCGAGCTCGACTTAAATCAACTTTTCGAAGAAGATGACGAAGCGAGGTCTGATTCATCCGTGGAGGAGATAATTGGCCAGCAAGCCAATGACGGAGAAGGAGTACTTCAAGGGCACGTAATTTCAGGTGGACAAGAGATTTTCTATGAATTTGACGGCTGAAAAAAAATATAATAAAAAGGTATCGGAAAATGTTTACTGGTTAACAAATTCACTGGGGGACGTAAAAACAGTGTTTGGTTGGTGACCGAGGAAGTTGATTAAAAGGGTGTTGCCCAAACATAGCGTAACAGCCTTTTAGCTCATGAACCAATCAGATGAACTATTACACAACTACCATATTTAGTCCTTCTGAGCACCAAGTATACCAAATAAATTTAACACATCTTAAGCACTCTAAAACAAGTAGTACCTGTTCTAACTGCGGCAAAACCTTACCCCCTGCGAACAAATCAACTATGATTCCTGCAATTTGGTCATCAAAAAAATAGTTGGCTAAATTATTACATAGCAAAATAGATATATTGTTCAGCACTTGATCTGTGAAACCTTCAACACTTCTGTGTGTAAAAAGAGCTGAGCCACATCAGCTTTAGTCAAAGAGCAAGAGGTAGTGGAGAGAAACAAAACGGGAAAAAAAATGTGGATGTAAACCCACACAGACAAATGTTGTCGCATTTGAACCAAATATCAATGAATTTGTCTAAGGAATGTGAGTAAAACGATTGGATCCACCATATTACCCATACAAAATATAAAACCAAATATTCAATGAATTTCTCTAAGGAATGTGAGTAAAACGATTGGATCCACCATATTACCCATCCAAAATATAACGGCAACAATCTTAATACATATCTAAAAGGATAATAGAATATATACGATAGCTATCCTGCATGCAGACGTGCTCACCAGCGTATCCTCCAGAAATGGCAGCATCAGGAGAAAATACATCACCAATATGAATATTGAGAAACCCACCATCCATAGTGTGCTTCTCGAGATCACGAAGCCCAAGATAATCTCTAGATTGATCTATTAACTGACATCATCAAATAAACCTCTCATCACAAAAATGATTAACAAGAACTATATGAAATTTTGAATATTAGTAAGAGAGCATCGCTATAGAGTAAACTACATGTAAGTTATTGAGATATGCTTTCTTCTATAAGAATCTTAAATCTATATCAACTGCGTAGGTAAACACAAGCATTTGCAGAATTTTACTAGAATCATTAGCTTTCTATTCAGGGATAGGTAAATAGGCACATAAGCAATAAATATGAAGGTAGGTAAACATAAGACATAAGCATCCAACATATCAAGTAACAATTAGTCGAATCTAAAAGATGAGAGCAATGGTTCTTACGATTTCATCTATCTCCCAACCGTCCAGCTGCAGTGAAGGCCATAAACCAAGCATCAAATGCGCAGCTGTTCCTCCACCCTGAGATTTTCGCGAAGCCATTATCAAACCATTATCTAACACAGCAACTCTTAGAATTCTTTGCAAGTCACGAGACTAATAAAACAAGAAGGTGAAACTGAAAAAATTCACCTTATTCAAGTCAGAGGGAAAACATTTGTATTACCAAGCCAAAAATTGCGATGGGGCCCTCTGGAACAACAGGCGGTAATGCTACAAACTCATCCTGCACAAGGGATCTCGAAATTGTTAGCCCGTGAGTTGAGGTCGAAGGGAAAGATCACCTTTCCAATATTAAAAAATCTGAAAGGACGGCATGGGTAGAACTCATCCCCAAATGTTACTTTAAAGGAAGAGGGTGTTCACTCCACATTTATGCACAATAACAATCCAATATCTCAATAATTTGGCAGTGGGACTAACAAAAGACACAACTTCTAACAGAATCAATAATGAAATGATTAAATACCAATCAAGAAAATAATGATCAAATATGCAATCAAAAAATATAATGAAATGATCAAATGGCTCTAGGCTATTTAATCTTATTTATTTTGTTCTTGTTAAGGATGAAAAAAGAGACTCAACGAACTACTCGATACTCCCAGTCCAATCAAAATGCTCACAGCATAATGCATTTACATAAACTATTTGCAAGGGGAATAAGGGAATTGACCACTGTTATACGAAAAACCGAAAAAAAAACTGGAGAAGAATAGTCATGGAAAACGAATATAACACAACTAAAAGCCTCGTTGTAATCAAAGTATACACACATTAAAAGAAGTATTGTAAGAAGATGAGCACTATAGTCAAGGAGAGACACACATACGGCATACCCAATAGGAGCCCGTCCATTTACTTCCGTCTTTGTTGAGAACGCTGTGGACATTATCTGCAAAATCAGGCAAAAGAACGAACACGATCAGGCACAACGAAAACAATTGAGGGCTAAGACACTGTCAAATGAATGAGTGGCTGTTTACTGGTGGAGTCGAGGAGCAGAAGCCTTGATTTGGGGCTATCAAGGATCACGATGCGGTTGTATCTGCTCTCGACAGCCGTCAGCACTCTGAACTCTTCTTCTTCTTCTTCTTGTCCGACGCCGTCAGCAGCTTTGATGAACAGCGTATTAGGCGGCCGCAGTTTGGACTTCCGGCGAGTAGAGTTGCAGTGTTTGGCACTCTTTAATGCGGGAGATGGAGACGGAGAGTAGCAAGTGGCGGTGAGGGACAATCGTAACTGTGGTGAGCAGCAGCTCATCGTCGTTCTCGTTCACCTCTATTTGTGGGTGATGATTTCTTGGTCTGCGGCTGTGAGCGGATAAAATTTCACTAATTCTTTCTTTTATGAGGTGGAGAAAGGAAAGGTCAATTTAGTGAACGGCAAAAACGTAAGAAATGTAATTGGGGATAGTGAGTAGTAATGAGTTATTAGTATTCCATGATGTAAAAAAAAATACTGTAAATTATTTGTATGTATATAATGATTAATTATTTTTTTTTTTCTTTTTTTATTGGCCATAATTACACAAAGGAGTTGGAGGGGCCTCCAGTTGAGAAGAGAGCTTGGCAACGTGAATGGCCTGGGCCTCGAGGTCAGACCACCACGGGTAATCATCCGGAAGGGATGTGTCACCCTCATAACCATCAGGGTCAGGGAGCTTCCGCCTCATCACCTCGCGGTCGAGTTTTCCGGCAAACTCAGACCCCGCCACCACCTCCTCCCACGCATCGAAAGTATGGTCGAAGTACTGAAGGGCGGCGGGGCAAAGCCTGTCGAGAAACTCAGGTGAATTGTAGAAAGCCTTGACGACTTCTTTGCGGTAGGCCTCGACAAAGGCGGAGCCCACGGTGGACTTTAGAAACGACTTCCGGCCCTGCACGGTGCCGATATCCCTCTCGAACACAACCTCATTCTGAGCCTTTTCGAGGTCGGCCTTGAGCTTCTCGTTCTCGTGGCGAGCCACAGCCTTGTCAGCCTTGAGCTTGTCGACAAAAGCCTTCGAGGCCTCCAAATCTTTTCTCAGCTTGGCTATCTCCTTGAGTTGCGCCTCGCACTTATCCTCGAGGGCCTTCGTGGAGGAGGTAGGGGCCTTGGTCCCTGCCTCGAGACCGGGAAGTACGGCTGCCAAGAACTACAAAAATAAAGAGGATAAAGTAAACAAGAAGCCGAAAAACAATAAATATTAAGTCGAACAAAAGATAAGTACCCGAGTAAGACACTGGGTAGCATAGCAGGAGCGCTCGTAGTCGTTCCCCTCGATGCGGGCTTTGTTGGCCTCGGGGAGCAGAGAGTTAAGATATCTAGCCACCCTATGCGGCTCCGGATGATTCCAGAGCCGAGACGGCATCTTGACCAGTACGTCCTTGTAAGTGACGACATTCTTTTCAGCCACTTTCTCCTTGCCCTTGTCGACCTTGCGACGTTTAAGGTCGCCGGGGATCAAGGTAAGAGCCCGGTCGTCTTGGGGCCTCTTACGAGCACCAGAACCCGAAGCTTTATGTTGCTTGGACGCACTAGGGTTCTCGACCCTAGATTTCAACCCCGATCCACCAGGCGGCAAAGGGGCAGACCCACTAGTCGGCTGACCGGCCGCTTTCTTTTTCACCTCAAAGTGCTTGAGTGCTTTCACTAAAAAAAAAGAGCAAACGAACAAGTTATCAGTCGACATGACGAGTTTAGCAAGAGTTGAGCACAAAGAATAAAATTCACAAAAGAAATAATTAACTCACGAGGATCATCGAGTCGAGAAAGATCATCATACAGAAGGATTCGAGCGTGATTGACCAATTCATGATCTCTTATTATACGACGAGCACTATAAGTATGCTTATTCAGCTCCTCTAAGAGCTTTTCGAAATTCTCGGAACGAGATCGTTCCTTTTGTTTAACTTTCGTGCTAACCCAATTATTTACATAAGGATAAGCACCGACGGAGGGACGAATAAACACGAATTTCGACTTCCATTCCGTGATATTCGAGGAAAGGTCGTCGAGAAAGGTAACGCCGGAACGGCGAATCAAACAATAGGCCCCCTTTTGAAGTCGGTAGCTATAGCAATAGTGGAAAAATTCGGCTGAGAAAAAACAAAGAACTATACGAGAAACAACGATAAAGGCTATCATGATACACATAGCGTTTGGGGAAAACTGATTTATTGGGATACTGTACAAATCACTTATCTCCAAAAGCTCGACTTGGATAGGAAAGCGGAGGCCAAAAATGACTTCATGACAAAGAAAGTGTGACAGCCCGGCGGGAGACATGCGAAGTCGCTGTCGGTGCCCTGAGCAACCAACTCCCAATCGGAGAGAAGCCCGCTAAATTGCCTGAAGCTCTCGACTTGAGCCATAGAGGCATAAGAAAAAGGGTTTAAAGTGGCCAATTTGGCCAGAGGGCTGGCTACTGATACAACCTCGAGGATTTACAAGAGGAGCAATTATTGGTATAGGTACAAGACTTGTGGTATATACAGGAATATCTAGCAACCTAATGAGAATACCTCGAGGAATCAAGTCGAGGCGAGGAGAATCTCCTCGAGGACTCTTTGAGACCTCTACTAAACCACCATCTAACAGTGCTTGATCGTATTCAGCCTAGTCGACCTTCGGAGTAGAAGCATGCGATGAGGAAGAATGAGGAGAGACATTAACTGTCCTATAACCGATTATCTCAATTGAGTCGGACTGGTCGAGGCCTCTATCAATCAGTTTGCCGAGTGTGTCAGAAGAGGAGTCGGAATGGGAAGCTAGAAAAAAATCGGGATCGAAGATTAGTCGTCACAAAATAAAATCAAATAAAGTACAATCGACTCACCAAGGTCGACAAAAATACAAAAGAACGAGAAAGCAATATGGTATGATTCGTTGAAGACATGCCAGCGAGCCGACATGAGGCCAACTCGAGGAAAGGATAGAAAGAAAGAAAGCGGGTGTCGATAAGAATCGACATAATAAAAAGCGATAAGCGGCTACACGCTACAACCCGACTATACGCTTACAACTAATCAGAACGAGGCGTGTGCACACAAGATTCAACATAAAATCTTCAGGAAAAGTTCGAAGAACATGAAGAACATACAAGGATGCAGAAAAAACCAAAAACCCAGAAAAATAAATAAAAAAAAAAACACAAAAACAACAGATCGATATAACTGGGAAATGAGCCAATAAATACTCACCCATGTTACTCATGACGATCTGAAAGTTGATTAAGACGCCGGTGCTGCGGAAAAAGTCGCCGGAAAAGCTCAGATTGCTAGATCGCTGGAGTTGTTGAGAAAATTTAGAAGAGGTGAAAAGTGTTTAAAGAAGAAGTTCAATTATATTTATAGGAGATGGGGGTAGATGTTAGCCGTTAGATCAACAAGGAAACCAACGATCCTGATGAAGCACAGAATACGAAGAGTCAGCGATTGAGGGGACGCGCGTCACTAATAGGAGTTTTTGAAATTCGAAATTCAAAAAGAACGTCAGTGTCAGACTTATCTTGAAGGATAGTCATTAATAAAGAATATTCGACCCAGATAGCGAGGCATGACAAGAGCTAAGATGAATCAGATATCTCAAGTCGAGAAGATGCAACAATCGAACCCCTTTTTTTGCGCTCACACATCGATTTCTATATGATTGCGAGAATAGATCGAATTTTTCAAAACGGATATATAGTCGGCTCACTTTATCAACTAAAAAATTGAAAAATACAATCGCAAAATGGTAATTATTAAAGTCGAATCTCGACATTAAGTGATGACGCCTACGGCCACGAGGTCGACTCGAATAACTACAAAGCCATGAGCCTTGGACACAGGTCAAAGGAAAACAGCTATGAAGTTGTTTAGACAGTTGCTCGACTTCGACCAGCTCGCAAGAAGGGTTG